TTTTAGTATGAAATAAATCTCTGCCATTTTATTTTTGAGGTACTGGGGATTGAACCAGGACTTGGCACATGCCGGGCAGGTGCTTTGTGACACTGAGTTACATTCCCGGCACATTAAATATATTAATACTTAAATAATCTTTACTAATAGATTTAGCAACTTAAGGTTTCTAATGGGGTTTTGTTTTATTCAAATTTTAAGAACTCTGATTCACCTTTCTTATGTCCTCCTACCTGCTTTCCCTAAATAAGGTTTGTTTTTCAACCAAAGAGATAGTTAATACCAGGTATGGCAAGTTGTGCAGGCAACACATATGAAGGAAAATCCAACCCAACTGCACTCCCTGTTGCTATAGAACATTAGTATTCCTGGCTTTGGGTCATTTATTCAAAGAGCTCATCCTGCTGGATCCTGTATGGTTTTCAGCTTATCTGACTTAGGTGTACAAAGCTGTATCCATCATCACAAACACATTGTCAGGCACTGCCAAATATCAAAGCATCAAATGCTTATATACTAAGAAGAAATAATATGGATCCATGTGGAGTAACTGAATTACTCACAACCACAGAGTAAAGAGTCAGATCACTTTGTGCATGTCAAAATCTTCCAGATTCCATCTAAGCAATCAGAGCTAGCCTTGTCTGTTAAGATGAATGCATAGTACAATCTGGTAATGGATGGCAAATGCAATCTGAAAATGTTTTTATGTTTTCTGTGCTTTTTTTTTCTCCTGAATAAGTTTACTGAAGAGTTAGTTTTCTGGGTATGGCAGTCATTTGAACAAGGTTTTCTCTGTGTGCTCATTTTAAATAATCTGAGTAAATTTATTAAAATGTTGTAGGAAGTACTGTTCCCAGGGATTTTCACACACAGACCACACTGTGACAAGACATGAACCTCTGTACTGTAAATAAGAGAAATGGAGTAAGGAATGCTCAATGCTTTATGAGGCTAGAGTGTCGTAAATAAAGGTGTAGAAATGACTGTGGCACCAGATGTGGTGCTATCATTGTCAGTAGTCCCTTAGGAAAAACTCCACATTCTCAGAAGCTCTTGATACCACTCTAATTAGGAAGGAAGATGCCGTTAATGAGAATAGTCGAATTATCAGCATATGATTGCAAGAGCAGCCTGTGGATGTGATCACTGAACTTCATGGTGATTCGTGCCATTGCTTTTTTATTTAAAGAAATTTTATAATTAAATGCTTTTTTTCTAAATGACCTTCTCTTGGAGTTACTACTTTTAAGCTGGTGTGCTTGCGAGTCTACTTTTGTCCTTTTCAGTTAATTTTAATGGTTTATTTTCCTTGTAATTAAAAGTCACATCTACTCTGTTATTGGCCCTATGTTCCTGTGTAATTTTTAAATTTGGAAGACACATGAGAGGAACAAACTTCTTTTTTACCTTATTGGATTTTTTTCCTTATATACATTTATATTCTTTAGCGTTTTCAAAAACACACTTCATTTTGTTTCTAATTTGAACAGGATATATTCGTTTCCCAATTAGTAAAACGTTTCATTAATAGTTCCATAAAAACAATTCACGATTAAGAAAAAAAATATTAAGAACTTAAAACCTTGAGGGAGCCACAATTTCAACAAGGCAGGAGTCAAGATAGTGATTTAAATAAATGGTTTCTGAAGCACATGACAGCTGATTCTACGACACTGACTGCCTAACCAAGGAGAAGAGCAGAAGAAGAGCAGAAGAGACCTTTGATCATGAAGAAGTTCCCAGGTTTTGATGGGAAAAATGAAAAGACCATTTATTCTGAGCCTTTCCTAGAACTTATGACCTGAGTTCAATGGCATTAAACATTGCATTTAAACTCTCTCTCTCTCTCTCTCTCTCTCTCTCTCTCTCTCTCTCTCATGTGTTTCTCTTTCTCGGTGTGTTTGTGTATGTGTGTGTGTGTGTTTACATTTCTACACAAGAGAAATTTAATATTGTAGAGCCTCAGATATAAATGTCTTGGTATTAACCCAAATGCTTTTACTGTGGGGTTTTTTTAAGTCTAGTGAGTTTTTAATTCAGATTGCTCTGAATCTTAAGTATTTTAATTCTCTTTAAGAAAAATTTATTATTTTATTTTATGTGTATGAGTATATTGCCTGCATGTGTGTAAGTGCACCTGGGTCATGCAATACCTGCAGAGGTCAGAAGAGGGCATTGGATTCTCCTGGAACTGTAGTTACAGATGGTTGTTAACCACTATGTGTGTGCTGGGAACCAAACCTGGCTCCTCTGCAAGAAAGCTAGTGCTCTTAACTGCTGAGCCATCTCTCCAGCCCCAAGTACTTTAATTTTTATGAGAGTTGCTAGTAAAGAATCTGAGAGATGGTGTTTATGGAATGTTGGCACTGCTATCTGGTGATCCTTCTGGTTCTGACCTGCCTACTCCTGCTTTCCTGCTTTCCCACCTCTTCAATGCATGCTTCCAGATATTACCAAAAAGTATAATTCTGGTCTTTGTAAATTTCTTCATTTACACAGCCTTTTCTTAGTGCTCTTATAGAATTTAATCTAAGTTCCTTGTTGACTGTCTCTGAGAAAAGGCATTTCTTTTCCTAGCTTTGTTGAACTGGTTTGCATTTTCTACGGTTTTCTGGATTTCACACATAATCAGCAGTAGGTGGCAGTGTTGGTCAGAGATTCCTTTGAATCTAAAGTTCAATAAAATTTTTAATTTTTCATTTGTATGTTGTTGCCACTGACTTGGTGCCAGGCACCTACACCAGTTAGGTGATAATACTTTGGGTCTCTTGTTTTGATTGCTCATTCTGAAGTTGTAAGTAATAATTAATATCTGAGTTTCTGTGTTTAGTGTTTTAATGTGTTAAGCTGCTTTTACCCTTAACCCATTGAGTATGGAAGAAGTGACAGGTTTATCAGATCCAGAATTAAACTTTTGGTAATGTCTAGCTCAAGCAGAAGTACGAGCAAAGAAAACGTGGAACAAACAGGAAAGTCAGAAATTGAGGAACTTTAGTGACTTTTATTTCATGTCTCTTCATTCAATAATTTGGATATTTATTGGATATCCACATATATGTCAAACAAGCGCTAACCTTGAGATATATTAGTAGACAAAATAATCAGTCAAAATAATCAAGAGAGACAAATAATGAATTAAATGAAAGTAGTAAGTGAATAGGACTACAGAGTTTAATGAAAGGTGCTGAGTACAGAGGAGGCATAAAGGAGGAGCAAGGTATGGAGTCGGGTTGGGGGGAGGGAGGTAGAGGTGGATCTGGGAAGAGTTAGAGGGAGCAATTGGGAATGACTATAATACAGATACATTGTATGAAATTATCAAGGAATTAAAAATATTTTTAAAAAGATGAGCAGATTGAATAGGCTTAAGGCAGTATTAAATGATGGGACTCTCAGCATAATTACCAACTAAATAGAAAAGAGGACCTTGCTGTGTGGATATGTGAAAGAACATTCTAGACAAAGGGAACATTTAGGAACAAAGTCCAGAGTAGGAATGTGCTTTGTCAACAGTGTGAGTGGAGTGGACTCAGGGCAGTGAAAGCAAAGGTCAGAGAGGGAAATGCAGGGGCAGAGGCCAAGATCATGAGGGCCTTGGATTAGGTGGATGGTAATTGATTGTTCATATCCAGACAGTTAGCAAAATGGCATTGTTGGCAAGGTCAGTAGGTTTGAAGTGGTGAGACTTGGTGGTCATTCCACATGGTGAAGGTGGAGCCTACCAGCTTGCTGGCATGAGAAAGAGAATGCCTGGTAATTGAGCATAATCACAAGATTAGAAAAAATTATTATTCTTATTTTATGTGTATGAATATATTGCCTGCATGTATGTAAGTGCACCTGTGTTGTACAATGCCCTCAGAGGTCAGAAGAAGGGGTCAGATTCCCCTGAAACTGGAGTTATGGCTGCCACGTGGGTGCTGGGAATCGAACCCTGGTCCTCTGCAGGAGAAGCCAGTGCTGTTAACCACTGAGCAATTCTCTAGCCCCATAATCACAAGATTTTTTTTTTTTAACTTAGAAGTTAGCAAGGTAGAACTTCCAACAACAGGTATAGGAAGGTAGTAGTTAATCAAGAATTTTGTAGGAGGAGGGGTTTGGAGATTTAAAATGGATGTAATACATTTGAGGTCCCTAGTAGATACCCACATGGCAATGGTTGGTGGGAATTACATGAGCAGAAATTCAGTAGAAAGGCCTGGGCTAGAGTCGTCTCTGTACACGTGGGCTTTTGGTTAACAGTGACCTTGCCTAAGATAAAGGGAAGGAGTATAGATGTCAGAGAGAACAGAGGTCTGTGGATCCCCTGGATTAGATTCTAGTGAAGAAGGAAGCAGGGAAGCGCTAGGAAGAAGTGACCTGTGAAGTAAGAGACTGTGGTATGTGAGAAACCACATGCAAGAATGGCAGCGAGGTGAAATGATGATGACAGACCCTCTTGCAGTTCAAACGAGCTGGGAGTGATTCATCATGGGATTTATCTGTATGGAGTCTTTGTTGAACTTGATGAACATTTGAAAATGATAAGGATGATTGTAATGGGGTTAAGATGATGAAGTCTTGAAGACCATGAACAAGTTCTGTTGCTACACAAAGAAGCCTATAAGTGAGACCCTACCACTAGAAGGAGGGGTGTTCTGGGCTAGATGAGATTTGGGTAGTGATTCACCTAAGTTATATTTTGAGAAGAGATGATGTGGATATTGGAGACAATATAGGTTAACTAATGAGACTTTGGGCAATTTTCTAACCTAAACTTTATTTTCTAGTTTGAATAAAAAAATAATGCGAATATTCACTTTTTAGTAGCTTACTAGAACTAA